AGACAGAACGATCAATATAACACTAGATAGACAGACAGATAGATAGAGCGATCAATATAACTCTAGATAGACAGACAGAACAAGCAATATAACGCTAGATAGACAGACAGAACGATCAATATAACACTAGACAGACAGAACGATCAATATAACGCTAGATAGACAGACAGAACGATCAATATAACACTAGACAGACAGAACGATCAATATAACACTAGATAGACAGACAGAACGAGCAATATAACACTAGATAGACAGACAGAACGATCAATATAACACTAGATAGACAGACAGAACGATCAATATAACACTAGATAGACAGACAGAACGAGCAATATAACACTAGATAGACAGACAGACAGATAGATAGAGCTATCAATATAATGCTAGATAGACAGACAAAGACAGACAGACAGATAGATAGATAGAACGATCAATTCGGGGGAGAGGAGGGGGAGGGAGAGGAGGAGAAGTGGAGAGGAGGAGGGAGAGGAAGAGGACGTGGTGAAGGAGGAGGGAGAAGAAGGGCAAGGAGACAAGCAGTCTCAGATGAAATTTGAGCCACTTTAGTTGACCATGTCCTTGTCCATGGTATGACTATGAGGGAGGCTGGGCAACGAGTACAGCCAAATTTGAGTCGCTTCACCGTCGCCTCCATCATCAGAACCTTCAGGGAGGAAAACAGGTAGGTGTACTTGCAGTAAGACTGCTCTGTACAGTAACTTTAGAGTGCATACACTGTTGCACTATGCTACTGTAATAAAGAAATGCATCAAATTGCCTCGCATATAGAGTTTCAGTATGTTTCCATTTTTTCCTGTAAAAAGGATGTGTGACAATTACAGTAATGAGTGCTTCTGAAAATAGGAGGTTTGGGGAAATGGGTGAGACGTTATGGATTTGTGTTTACTGTTTTGAGAATACAAGGCATAGATTCAAGAAATGTGTTTAAGCAATCGAGAAAAACTGTAAATCGCGCTCAGCGAACTTTGCTCACATCTGGTAAATGCAAGTCTCTTTACACTGAGATTTTAAGATCTTCTTATCTGGACTAAATTTGCATTAATTTAAGGCGGATTGATTTAAGTGTGCTGGAACATGATGGGGCCTGAGCTGTAGTTCTGACTTAAGTATGTTAAATGAGAAAGTACAGCCTCACACACACCTGAAAGTAATCAATTTAGTCAATGTGCAGATTAATCTCTGCCTGTAAGTCTTGAAATTACTCATTTGACTTTCTCCATTAAATTTGCACGTTCATACAGACATAAAAATTATGGATATAATTAAAGCTCAAGTGTTGAAAACAAGTAAATGCAAATGAGAAATATTTCATTTTCATTATGCAGACATTCCTTAAATATTTCTACTCATAAATTCTAATGTATTGTTTTGTAAGGGAGAAAAATGACAATGATAAGTGGAAAGTATAAGTGTGATTAGCTGAAATAATGTTCTGAAAGCAGGAGTTTATCATTTTCATCAGATCATTAATCATAACGTCCAGCAAACTCCCTCCCACATTCCTAAAAACTATTGATTTAAAAATGCAAGAAAAAGACACACCTCTTAAAATGGCCTGTTTTAATCTTGACAAAATCACAGAGGAAAAAAAGCCAAAATATTAAGAGGTCATAAACAGCATCTACTTCTGATTTCCTGTTTGCGACAAGAGCATCTGCGCTTCTCATCTGGTGCTTCAGTCTTCTGACTTTTACAGAAGGCATCATGTGAATATAATGCTCTCAATCTCATGTCTTCATAAAGAAAGAACCTCTTCACTGTCACAGCCAGATGCTTAAGCTCGCTAAACATGTTACAAGCACTCATCCCACAGTAAAGTATCTATTTAAGAGCTTGGCTTTCATAACACTTTGGTTCAAGCCAGTCAAATAACACAGGCTTTGCAAGAAATGTTTTATGCAATGGTCTAAAAAAATCTAGCATAGTATAATTTAAAACATTTCAAAGGAATAAATCATAGAAATCCAAGCCAAGGTATTGAAATAGATTCCAAAATCAAACAGACTAAATAATAATAATGCAAAAAACACTTATTAAACTAAATTCAGTGGTTGATTGTACATTATAAATCAAATTCATTCAGAATATAATGCTATTGCACAGTGTTCATGGAGTAAATGTGAGTCAGACCGAGTTGATGGCTGAGGAATTGAGGCAGTGGCTGAGGTGGTTCAGATGAGAAAAAAAAGCCTCTCTGAACCTCCTCATATCCCTTTAACCTGGACGAGCTGGTAGGGAATCCACACAGTCCACAAAGTTTGCTTTTCACATTTCCTGAACTATGACATAAATCTGAAAAGCAAAAACATAATGTCAAAAATCATATCATTAAGCAAACAATTATGGGAAATATCTTGTATTGCGTTAGCAGCGCAAAAGGTCGTGGGTTCAATTCCCAGGGAACACACATACTGGTAAAAAAATAAAAAATATGTATATCCTGAATGCACTGTAAGTTGCTTTGGATAAAAGTGTCTGCTAAATACATAAATGTAGGTAACTGAATTCTAGAGGCAGGTCTTAGCATGGATATGGATAGTTATAATGGATATTTGCTACTTTAGTCTGGTATGTTGAGAGCATATAAAAACAACATCACACAGTAATGGTGGCCAAATTATAATAAATATACACCACAGTGGCTCAGCACTCAGACTTTTTTTTTCTTGCGCATTTACAGAACTCAGTAATACAGTTACTCCAAGCTCACAGAGCAAGACGCAGCTTCACTGACTTTGTAGAACCATGCAAAAATGCAAGGGGAGTCCATGCAGCAGCTGATCAAAAATCTGCAAAAGTGAGGTTCCTCTGAAAGCCGCCCAAAATGAGAAGACAGTTATAAGACAGTGGCAAATTAGACTCCAGGTAATGGTCAGTGAGCCCTTTAGCATCCCTAACCCTAACTTTCCATAGAAATATGAATGGGGCGAAAATTACTATACGTTTTTGGAAAGTGGAACTGAATAAAAGTTGAATTAACCGCAGCCCTCTGACTGGCAGTCTTCTCTAAATATGAACATAAATCCTGCTGAGAAAGAGCTGCAGATGCTGAAAATTCAGCTTTGCCATCACAGCAATAAATTGCATTTTAAATATATACATTAAAATAGAAAACAATTATTTAAAATTGTAATAATATTACTATTTTTGATCTAATAAATGCAGCCTGGCTAAGGATAAGAGACTCCTTACTTAAAAAAATCGACCCCAAACTTTTGAACAGTAGTGTATATGAAAATAAATTAACTATAAACTGACACTTTGCTCAGTGGTCTGGCTATGCATAACTCATAAACACACATCTCTTAAGAAACACTCACAAGCACGTCAGTATTTTCAAAGTAGTTTCTCCAGTACGGCCTTATCTTCCTCTGGCCTCCAATGTCCCAGACATTCAGTTTGAAGCCCTGAGACTGCACACTCTTAATGTTAAAGCCCTGGCCAGAACAGAAGAATTAAAAATAAGCTGTGCTAAAGTAAGAGAAAAATAAAAGCAGAAGCACAACAACTTTTTACCAGGAAATTGGTAATTTCTGCAAAAGGGAGATAATTTCTAGTAGGTACTTTTTGTGTGTGTTACCTGTGTCGGGGTGATGTGACTAATATCCTCAGAGGCAAGCTGTTTGAGAAGTGTCGTCTTTCCACCATTGTCTAATCCGAGAAGCAGAATGCGTACCTCCTGCTCTGGGGCACTCTTTAGTTTTCTAAGGATTGACAACAAACCCTGGAATAAACATAATATGCTCAATAACCAGATTTCAAACAAGCCAGTGATGAGACCTCTTTCTCTCAGTCAAGAAACTTTTATAACAAACTATTAGAAAAGACAAATAAGATGATAATGTTATTCAGTAGGTATGTAAAATACATAAATAAATAAATAAGCAATGAAATTGAAAAGTGATTGATGGCAACATTTGGTGAACTATCGCTTTAACACTGGTGTCTATACTTCATATCAGGTATCAAGTACTTATATCAAATATATCAATATTTTACGCATAGATGTCAGCTGAAAAAGAGGCAGGAGCTCTGGATTTCGGACTGGGTGAAATCACTCCTGCTTAATTATTCAGGAAAATAAGTAGCGGGACAGCAATTAACTAACGTTACAGTTAAGCCTTAGCGCCGCTGAGCCATCAGGTTTCACTCCTACAGAGAACCCGCCACTGCAGCTACTAATCAAGACTAACGGTACACGCCCCCAGTTCCAGGAAATGGCTCGTATTTTCTAAGTTTCTTCACCCCCAGTTCATTACAAAATACACACAGACATGTCAAGAGGCAGAACACTTCTCACCATCTTCCTCCCGGTGTTTTCCGAGACGCTGCCGAGGGTTGCTGGGGGACGTTCAGTGACGTCCTCCATTTTAAAGGAACCGCGATTATTATTATTTTTTGGGACATTTCTCTGTTCGGCCAGGTTTCAAAGTCAATGTCTATATATATATATAGGTATGACTACATTATAGCTGCATTTCTATTTCTGCATTAACAACATTTCCACCGTTGTTATTGCACAAAGAAAAACATACTACTCGATTTTGTCACTCTATAAGTTGTCACAATAGAACCTACCATTAAACTGTCTTTTATAAGCTTTTACAAATAATAGAATTATGAAACACAAAACAATTCAGAAAACAGCAAATATGTAAAAGGTAAAGTAGAAAAATAAGGAATATGTTTAATTTGATAACATCTAGCTTGATTATATAGAACACTCTGGCCTGACTGTATACCTTTGTGGTTTTATTGTGTTTACATTGTCCTTCCGATTATAAAATGTTCTATATAATTATACTCAAATTATTGAGAATATTAATACTGTATAATATCATCATAAAATTATAATACTCTATCTATATATGTTTTTTTCATACAGTTGATGTAATTGTACCAAACACAGCAATTGTTATTAAAGCACTGATCATCAGCGCTACGAAAACAAATTTGCCAAAACGGTTATAAAGTGAGACAAAAAAAAAAAAGCAACAACTGCACTGGTTCTACTAAAACAACAAATTTTATTTACAGAATCTGTAAATAAATCTGTAAAAATACAAAAACGGCAACCATGGCAAGTCCTTCTACTGATCTCAACATAAAATATCAGTCCTTCAAAAAGGGACTAAGATTTAAAAACCCCGATTGCCAAAAAACCAAAACCAAAATTCCAAATAGCAAAACAATATGAGGAATATCTGTAGAGAACAATGCTGGTGCTTTCCCTAAAGGCAGAAGATTGACGCTTTTCACTGTCAATATCATCTTACAGTATGTTACAGGGATCGTCCATCCGGAATCAACCTGGTGTGAAGTGCCTCACTTCAGGGCTCAGTGGTAACAGGACTGTGAATTCTCAGTCCCTGAACTGAGAGTGAATCTGAAGTTTGGTGTTGGCAGTTACTTACGTACAGTATTAACTAATAAAACACTTTCATCATGAAATAAGTGTTCATGGAGCTGGTTGTATGGAGGCTTTAACATTTGCGACCACAATCTGAAAGTACAAAATTCCATTACGTTCTACGCCACCCTCCGTCACGTCCCGTAGTAGAACATTAAATCTATTATTAAAATGTATAAATGTCTGGGGTAAACATCTCAAATTAAGCTCTCTGCTTTTTCTTGGCTGGTTTGACTGAGGGCATTTCCTCCTCACTGACATCATCATCATCATCTTCATCTGATATTCCAAACTCGTCATTCTCTGTGGCTGAAGGAGAACTTATTAGCATCATTCATTATCAAAACAAAAAATAAAAAAAGCTATTAATGCAATTTTGTGATATAGAGCTACAGTGTGCTTGTGACAGTGTTTTATTCCTCACCAACTAAATGTAACCCACTGACGGTCACTGGTCCAGATCCAGATTTCAGGCGTAGTGTGACAGGAGTCATCAACTCAAACTCCCCAAGGCTTACCTGAGTAAAAACAGATGCGAAAAATTATTTAAATGTTGGAACACTAATAATGTATAACAGTATAATTAAAGGGGTCATCGGATGTCCATTTTCCACAAGTTGATATGATTCTTTAGGGTCTTAATGAAAAGTCTGTAACATAGTTTGGTTAAAATTTCTCAATGGTAGTGTAAAAAACACCTTTTTTACCCTGTCAAAAACAGCTCTTTTCAGAGCACGCAGTTTTGTAGCATTTTTCTTTAAATGTTAATGAGCTCTGCTGACCCCGCCCCGCTCTCAGAAAGACTGTTTACTTCAGCTGCATTCATCGTGAAACTTGCTAATTAGCACATTATTATGAAAGGCGATTTGCAAAGATTCGTTTAAAAAACCTTACACTAACTTCTCCTGTAGGTGAGGCTGGATCACGAATGATTTGCGCGAACAGACACATTTATGTAGATCGGGGGCGCATTCCCTTCAGAAACAAATGTAATCCACTGCGAGTTCAGCGGCTCAGATGTCGGGAGTAAATGACGACTGCTATGTTCATTATTACATCCAACAACAAAAAGCCCTAAATCGCTTCGGAGTCATTCTTGTCTACATCTTCTCCGGCGGTGAAACAATGGTGGACTGATGACAGCTCACTCAGGGCGGGTCTGAGGTAAGACACCAGTCCAGTCTGTGCTGAAACGCTACTGTCAATCAAACTATCGTGGGAGGGGCCTGTCTGTGTGACGTAGCATTACCATAGGCAGGCAGGAAATGTTGAGATTAGCTACAGGCACCGATATTTTCTTTCCTTGGTGATTCATAGCAGTCACTTCCACCACGTTATTCTCCTGTTTGGCACCGTCACCTAGACAAATCTAATGGTTTGAGAGAAAGGTAGAGTTATGCATTTAAAAACACAGGTCATCAAGCTCTCAGATTCAAACTCATGATGAAATGGAAGCTGCGACGGATCTTTTCTTCCATATTGTGACATACATCAGAAAAGAAAAAATGGACTTGGCTCTATTAATCGGTTGTTCACTGGATTTCGAGATGTGTGCACTGCGCTCAAAAGTGGAGGCAGATGAATGTGAGTTTAAGATGCAGACACATCTACCATGGTTCTGCTAATTTTTGCATGCAAAATCCAGTCATTTCAATAGGAATCAATTTAATCTAGAATTTCACATAAGAGCAAAAGAATTCTCCATGCAAATTTTAAAACAAATTCAAGTTGGTCTCATGGATTCACGGCTTTGACCAACAGAAAGCATTTTGGTATGAAAGTGACTTCGGTGTGAGCTGTGCTTCATTTGTCTACACTATGGACAATAGACAATCTTTTTTGCCTGCCAAATTTTGGTAATCTGAACACATCTTAAATGACTGGAGAAGTCCTCTATACATCACGAGAGAAGTCGGTCATTTCACCACAGTTACAACATTTTAATTAAACATTAAGAGGTCAAAATGAAAATCAATATATACACATATGCACAGATGAAATGTTCTTAAGATCTACAACATGCATTTAGAAAATAGGGTGACGTTTTTATTTCTACTGTAAAAGTATGAATCAGCCAGAAAAGAAAATCTATTATCATTTACTCACTTTCATATTAAACCCAAATTATTATTACCATTTCTATAGACCACTTCAGTCACCATTCACTAGCACTGCATAGAAAAAGTGCACCCACACAGAGCCATTCAGGTTTGGAACAACACAGGCAGACTGTTCTTGTGATAAAATAGTCTACGAACCGTCCTAAGCTCGAGAAAATGCTCCACATCTTCATCTTCATCTGCTTGAAATGTGTAGAATGGAATTTTAGAAGACAACTCACAACCTAAAGGAATCCAAAATCACAATATTAAATAGGTATATCGAATTGAAATGCAAAAATGAATGAAATTACTGAAAACGAACAGGTGCTTGAAATGTGTAGAATGGAATTTTAGAAGACAACTCACAACCTAAAGGAATCCAAAATCACAATATTAAATAGGTATATTGAATTGAAATGCAAAAATGAATGAAATTACTGAAAACGAACAGGTTTGAACTATATCTTGATGCACAGTAATCCAGGGCTCTTTTGATGAACGTTAAACATCACTGGCTACAATTATTAGAGAAAATTCTGACAATTGCCGTTGTCCCACGTGTGTGTGTGTGTGTGTGTGAACAAATGTGCAATCAATGCATGCTGCGCATCACTGTTGATCTTACTGAACACATAGCTTTCCAATCGCGAGCGCGAGTCCACGCCACTGTCTGATACTTCGTCCTCCACAAACGACATGTTTGTTACTAATATCACTTCAATAGAGGATATGATATCCACAGTGCAGGTAACGTTTTCCAAACACGTGACGGGTACACGGAAACCGTCGCAGGGACCATGCCGTCATCAACATGGACACTGAAGCGGGTCCATCTTCTTTTCTGCTTTGCTATGTTAGTCTGACACTTGATGGCTCTGCTGTTATTATCCGAAATCCCAGTCATTAGAAATTAAAAGATGGGGTTTTGTTTTAGTTAATAGCTAGAATATATTACAATACTTTGTTAATACCACAGTGATATTTTTGTCCTCGCTCATATGGCTGTTTGTGTATGAAAGATTATAATTTATTTAGCCGCTTTTGTGTGCAAGATCCTGTTTGTGTTGATTGCAACTTAAATTACTTTTTCTTCTCCTTAAATATACATGTATACCAATATATATACATTTTTCTTCATATAGAAACTGTATCAGCATCTCATAAATTGTAACTTTATGTTCCAGGACTATTAACTCCGTATACTAGAAAGCAATACAATTTAGATGGTTATAGAATGTTCAAAACTGAAACTATTTAAACCACTTGCAAAGTTTTAAAGAAACCATGTCAGAAATAAGAGTGTTTGCCGGGTTAGTCACTGTGGCCCTAGAAAGCATTTTTCATTCTACTCACTAACGACAGATTTTTTTCTATGTAACATTTTAATTACATACAACCCTTACAGAAATTACAACTATATTACATAGACATAATCATAATTACATCAAAGTACAGAAAGGTCTTCATTTTTTTTAATATATGCAGTGTATATGACCTTTAAAAAAAGACAAAAAGCCCTTTACATTGGATGTGATCAACCAAAATAAAATGATCCAAGTAAGAAGCCATATAGAGATAAACAATAGCAATTTTTTGCGTACAAATTTCCCTTAAATGGGGTCGAAAAATTGTCAAAATTGTTGGCCCATCACATGCACAAAATTATTTACATTTTTCTTAAACTCAGGCATTTTAACATTACATATGAGAATCTGCAGGAGCCATTTGTGCTCATTTAGTTTTTCAGAATATAGCACAACAATACAGAAGAAGAAGAATATCAGTCATTTTGGTTAAAAAAAAGGGAGTACAGAATAAACAGTTTCTATTGTACCTACATTCTGGGAAACAGTCCTGACATTGACATTGAAGAGTTGACTTCAGAAAAACCCAACTTCAACTGTAGGGGTTTTAAATATATTAAAGAAGCAGACTGTCGTTAAAAACAGGCAAATGTTGTTATTCTCCTCAGGCAACAGAAAAAAGGATCTCAGGTATTTTAAAGATAATCCACTAATGTACCTTCATTTATTTTCAGTTTTCAATCTAATTAGAGACAGGGCACTGGTCTTGAGCTTTACTTTACAAATTGTACCGTTTTATTTATTTTTATTATTATTATTTTCTTGTAAACACAAGCATCTCAGAATTATAATGTAACCATGTTTCACCTCAGAAACGTATAATTTACCACTTTAAACAAAAGGCATCAGTATAGGAAAGTACTTTTCATTACCCTCAGATATATTCCAGAGGAGGGCAAGAGCCAAAAGGCATTTTTGTACAAAATGAAAAAATGTATCGTTAAAAGATACACATGCTAAAGACTTAGACAAAACTATTCCATGCGGTCTTAAAGACAACAGACTTTATGGTTTAACTGTATTTACTTCTGCTTGCTTAAAGTTCAATTTCAGTTTTTTTCCTTTCTAAATAATACCCAAACAGCATCCGAAACCTCAAAAGGATAGCTTTAGCCTGCTGTATTCTCCATACGGGAGCTCACAGACACTGTTTGAACCTGGAAAATGGCAGAATTTATTACAATGTCCTGGAAAGCAATATCACAAACCCTGCCTGTTATGAATTCCTTCTAGATTATTGCTTTGAACACTGTAAAGCACTGCAATGAACTATTAAAAACAGTGAAATGAAGATATCGCTTACCAAATAATGGGAAGTTTTTAGTCTGGAGAATGTAGACGTTAACTTAAACATGCACATATGCCGAACACAAACGGCGACTCAGCCACATCTAAGAGATTTAGTGGGTTCAATGGCACTCGGCCAACTCAAGCAATCGGTCCACCAGAAAAAAAACAAGTAACTTGTGCGTCCTGAATTACTCTTGCAGACTCACTTCAATTCTTTTTCCATTTCTCACTCCCCCTGAACACACCAATGTGTGCATATGGGCACACTCACTTTCAAACTCTTGAGCTTCCACTAAACACTGGCAAAGTAAATGAACAGCACCTACATTTCTAGAAGTGCATTCGGCATATGATGTGAATGAAGCAACCATTGCTATTACAAAACGTGATAGTTACATGAACAGGTAGCGCGTTGGGTCCAAAGCTTTGTGCACTTTCTGGGTGGCTCCTGTATGATTTTTCTTCTTGGCGACTCAGATTCACAAACTCCGTCCCATTATAATAACGTCTTTTGGGAATCCCTCCATTTTGGCCACTTCAAAGCAACCCAGTTTGCTATAAAAGTCCAACATCCTTTTGTCCATCTGCCGGACCTCACAGAAAGCACCATGCGAACCTGACAACCGAGGAGGAAAAGATGCGTTTATGAAACTAGGCATTCAAACAAATCACTGCAGCTTTTTATCCTTTAACATGTCAACATAACTATAAACATTTTTGTGCTTACTAAAGTTAAAATGTGGTAAGAGGGGGAAGACCACGGAGATTAAAAGCAGCTTTAATGTACAATGTATTTAAGTAATTACTGGTTAATAACAATGTTAGTACTATAGCAATTAATAACAGTATCATAAAAATAAAGTGCACATGCCACACAACCTAACTTTACCTACCATTAGCTTTCAGTGATGAGAGGAGACATCCCATCATGCTTTTGGCAACACTGGGGTCAGTAACCTTTGCGTGAATGTCCACTTTAATGAGTGATGGGAAGTTACTGAGGAACGATTCTGGTAAGCCTTCCTCCTCCTCCTCATGGAAACTTAGCATCATTTTCTATAGGGAAAAGATTGTTAAAATTTCTAAGGCCTCTAAATTATCAACATGATGTTTTGGTTTTGTCTGAAGGTTAAAAAAATTGTTCAATTAATAAAGTATAATTTCATATGTCAGGCTTTTAAAGGGGTCATGAACTGAGAAATCAAATTTCCCTTGATCTCTTGACATCTAACGGGTCAATGTACTATAAAAACATCCTGTAAGTATCAAAACGTTCTCATTAATTTAAAAACAGCTTTTATTGAAACCAAGCTCAGAAAACAACTCGTTTTGGAATGTGCCACTTTTTAACACCTCCTTCTACATCACTGTCTCTTTAGCCCCGCCCACTGATACACGCTTTGTAGTAGGAAGAGAGGAAATACTAGAGAGACGTGAACACAGGATTACTCCATTAACAGAACCATACAAATGACATTACAATATTACAAGACACTGTGTAGTGTAAATTATGAAAAGTAGTCTTTGAATTGCCTTCCTTGTGATCCTAACATATCTAGATCAGACGGGAGCGCAGTTGCGTCATGTTGCGAATCCTTTTCTCTTTCAGGTCAGAAGTGGCGTGAATGCTTGTATGTCAGAAATAGAGCAGGACATCAGTTTACTGTCGGAGATTTGTTGTGTCAATCTGTGCCGCATCCAGTGTAGAATTGCAGATTATAATGGGTTCTGCCGTCTTTAGCAGTGTTGCGTCGCTCATGTCCGGTGTAAATTAGCAAAGACCTCCACATCGCATCAGTGAAACATTGTTTGTTTGTTTGCTTTACTTTGCTACAGATTAATTTTTAAACAAGACAGTATGATACAGGCTTAGAAAGTAAACGATGATGCAGCGCTGAGTCTAACTAGAGTGGATCCAACAGTAATGTCGCAACACAGAAGTGTGAGTATTGAGTAAACGTGCTTTTACCCCATTGCATTGTCTGTTCTAGACCATTTGATATATATTGAGTATTTATATATTTTTAACCTAAATGACCCATGTTGTTTTCAGAGTGCTTCACAGCAACGTCCATCTGCTATTTTAATAAGCGAAACTGTTAGCCAATCATAGCAGTGGCCGTTTACTTGCGAGTCTTGAATGCTCCCCGCCTATAAAACAGACTGTTCTGCAGAGAGGCTCAAAAACAGGATAGAAAGTAGCTTATTACTACTAAATTATGATGTTCTATTGATGTAAAATCACACTAACATTATAAGTGAACCTCAGAGAACATTATAAACTAATAAAAAAATGCAGTTCATTTTAAGAATGAGTTTGTTTGAGAAGACATGACATACTAACCTCAGCCTCTGACAGGTCCTTCTCTGTGTCTGGCTTGTTGTACTTCTCCTGCATGAATGGAATCCAACTCATCTTGCATTTCGTCACAAAAGGTTTGACATCCACAGTGCCCAGAGCATAACCACAAATACCTTCCTCATCCTCAAGCACAAAGCCATAGTCTGGGCTGAGCGTCAGGAAACCTCCCACTAACCTGCAATGAGGAAGATAATGGAAAACGTTCACTTGTTATTAATCAAGCACCTATAATAATACATTAATGTGACTAACCAAAGTGGAAGTTCAAACCACACCTGTCTCCAATAAGGTCCGGTGACTCATCTGAGAAAAAGATGCCTTCACAGCCCTCAGTGAACATCTCTTTGCAGATCTTGTAGATGGAAGACTAAGAACAGACAGTGAGAAAGTTGCAGTATGTGAAGGCATCTGACAGCTCTGATTCCACAAAGTGCGAGCCCTCCAAGGACTAACAGGTGGACCAGACTGCTATTTCAGCAGAATGCTTCAGATGTGCTGCAAATAAACCTAAAAGCACAGCTTAAACTGGGACACCTCAGCTGGGAATACAAGCAGCCAATTGCAACGTTTTATTTAGAGCATCAACAGAGTTTTCATACTACAGACAGCTTGCCAAGGAAAAGCCATGTCCTCAACAAGTACAAAATTAACATCTGTACAGCTGTGCACAGGTTACAACTTCGCTTAGTTGCAATGTAAATGGACACCAAGTTACAAATTATGCACTACTAAGTCTTTGTATTGCACCATTAAACTTATTTGAAATGGAACTCTATAAACAGCAGATTGGTTGAATTGCATCAATAAT